TGTTTAAGAGCCTTGAGACTGGAGTAACTAGATGTCTACATTCTTCTCTGCACCCTGGCCCTGTCCCTCTCTCCCACCCCAACAGCGACCTGGAGGTCCGTTCTCTGGAGACATGGAACTGGGAAGGTGTTGAAGGCACATGGTGAATAATGGAAAATAGGGTCATTGATGGCAGCTGGGGCCTCTCGTGGCCCTTCTGCCCTGTCCCAGAAGTCCTAGCAGCTAGGCATGTATAGCCCCAGCAAGGGATCCAGGGGTCTTAAGACAGTGAATGGCTCCAGAGAATAATGCCCCCAGATACTGAAATTTGTGGGTTCTTTAGTGGGAAGCTCCCCACCCCCCATTAATTTCTTTCTGCACACTTGCAGAGCCTCCAGTCTGCTTTGGTACTTCATTCTTAAATAGGATCCGGCTGCCAAGGATTACCACTCACAGTAGGAAAGCCTTCCATATGAAAGGCAGGGACCAAAACAAATAGAAAAAGCAAAATCTTGCAGAAGGTGGAAGTATTGCAGAAAGCAGAGAAAACATGTTTTTTTGGAAAAAGTTATAGTTATCTTCAGAGGGAGAGAGAAGCCTTTTCATATCTAAAATAAGAATAGTATTTATGAAAGAGAAACAATTAAAGAACAAGAAAGAGCTATTGGAAATTACCAATTAAATGCTTGAATTTAAAAAAATGTTCGGGATGTCTCTCTCAAAAAGAACAAAAAAGATGGAGTTAAAAAGTAGAAAAGAAAAAAATTGAAATTTGGTCTAAAAGATTCAACATTACTATTAATATTATAGTAGATGGAAAAACCAAGAATGGAATAAAATGGTTCTTTGAACATTGTCACAGAAAGAATGCAAGCACATGTTGTAGAAAGAACTAAAGACATGAATTTCCAAATGGAAAGAATATGTTAAGTGCCTACGTTTTATAAAAGTACCCAATTTTATAAAAGGCATACCTGGGTATGTCATTGTGAAGTTTCAGAACACCAGTGATAAAGAAAAGGTCCTAAACACTTTCAGAGAAAAGAAAGTGGGTCATACACAAAGGAAAGGATTTCATAAAAGCTGCAGAATTTCTAACAGCATCCCTGGAAGCTAGAACGTAATGGAATAAAAAATATGAGGGAAATGATTTCGAATCTGGACTCTAAATCTAGCTAGACTATCACTTAAAAGTAAGCATAGGATAAAGACATTTTTCAAAATACAAGGGCTCAAAAAATTTACTTTACTTGGAACTCTGTTGGAAGTATGTTCTGTCGGATCAGTTGGGTAAACTGAGGAAGAGGAAGCCATGAAACTCAGGAAACAACATTAGCACGAAAGGAAGAGAGCAGAGACCCTAATATAGGGCAGGAGGATGGGAGGTCAGTAGGGGGGAAGATTAGCACATTATCTGATGTTTTGATCATTTGGAAATGAATGCCAGTGAGCATCTAATAGATATGATGTAGCTGATGGAAGGATTTAAGAATAGGTATATAGAAAACAAGACAAGTTATTAACGCCAGCAAAAGTTTTGTGAGAAAGGAAAGATGACCATAGCATACAACTTGGCTCTTTAGTGAATAATATTTATATAACATAATAATGTAAACAATTGGTTCTTGATTTTATTGTTGGGAAGCTAGCAGAATGAGAAATTTACATGTATGGTGCGTCACCTATCACATGTAAAACTGATAAGAAATAGGAGTATTCTTTAGCAACATGGAGGTAAGTACCAGAAGAAACAGCTAAAATTTGCAGTTATTATTTTTTTTCCTGGGGAACGTGTTTAAGATTGGGGAAGGGAAGCTGGAGAGTACGGGTTTTCATTATATCTTGTTTTACTCTAACTAAAAATCCAATTATTGGCCGGGCGCGGTGGCTCAAGCCTGTAATCCTAGCACTCTGGGAGGCCGAGGCGGGCGGATTGCTCAAGGTCAGGAGTTCAAAACCAGCCTGAGCGAGACCCCGTCTCTACTATAAAAATAGAAAGAAATTAATTGGCCAGCTAATATATATATAAAATTAGCCGGGCATGGTGGCTCGTGCCTGTAGTCCCAGCAACTTGGGAGGCTGAGGCAGTAGGATTGCTTGAGCCCAGGAGTTTGAGGTTGCCGTGAGCTAGGCTGACGCCACGGCACTCACTCTAGCCTAGGCAAGAAAGCGAGACTCTGTCTCAAAAAAAAAAAAAAGAAATCCAATTATTTACAAATATTAGTATAACTTTGATGAAAGTGAAAGTAGACGTAACGAAATATTTGGAATTGCTGAGATGATAAATATTGCAGATGAACGTACCCCTCCAAGTTGTTCTTATTTGTGGAACAGGAGGTGATATGTTTTATATTTAAAAGAAAAATCACCAAGCAAGACTGACAGCACCATGCTAGTAGTAGGAGACTGAATGTATCCGGAAAGACCCCAGACAAAGCCGAGAAGCAAAATAGGTAATGACATGGCTATAGTTGCACTAAATAATTATTATGGTTATACTAATGGATAGATTTTGAATGCTGTAAGTTAAAATGGAAAGTACACCCAGAACCTGTGAAACATTGACAAAAATTGTCCATATATTTGCCCACAAAGGAAACCTCAGTAAATTGTAAAAGGAAGAAATAGTAGAGACTTCATTTTCTGACTACAGTGCAAGTGGAAATTAACAACATTTAGAAATAAAGACTCTCCAAGCCAAAACACGAAATACTGGCTATGAAAAAACTTTCTCAAAACCAACTCTTGGATCAAAGAAGAAATCAAAACCCCAAATGGAAACTATCTATAAAATAGTAATAGAAACATTACTGTGGCGGAAACTGTTGGCTGCCTCCCCAGTATCCATTCTCCTTTCTCTTTTTACTAATAGAATATTGATTCTGTTTGGTGCATCAAAAACCATCTAAAAAACCCTATTTCCCAGCCTCCCTTCAGCTGAGGATGGTTGTGTGATTAAGTTCTCACAGGCGCGGTGGCTCCCATCTGTAATCCTAGCACTCTGGGAGGTGAGGCGGGTGGATTGCTCAAGGTCAAGAGTTCGAGACCAGCCTGAGCAAGGGAGAGACCCTGTCTCTACTAAAAATAGAAAGATATTACTTGGCCAACTAAAAATATATAGAAAATATTAGCCAGGCATGGTGGTGCATGCCTGTAGTCCCAGGTACTTGGGAGGCTGAGGCAGGAGGATCACTTGAGCCCAGGGGTTTGAGGTTGCTGTGAGCTAGGCTGACGCCATGGCACTCACTCTAGCCCAGGCAACACAGTGAGACTCTGTCTCAAAAAAAAAAAGTTCTCACCAATAAGATGTAAGGAGTTATTGGTGGGTGGGCTTCCAGGAAAGCTCCTTGAAAAGGAAGTTGGCTCATCTGGCCTTTGGTGGTATATGTGTTCCTGGCTCAGCCATCTTGTAATCATAAGGTGTCTAATATATGTCAAAGATGAGTGGAAAGATAGAAGAGGTGTTCCTCGTAAATATCCTGGGATCTGTTCCAGCCCTGGACTTCCTACCTCTAAGCAAAAAATCCTAACTTCAGTCTTAAGCTGCTCTTTTGGGTCTCTTTGTTAGTTGGAGCTGATATAATTCCCAAGTAACACAGTTACATACCACAATTTATGTGACTACATTAAAGAAAGGAAATAAACAAATGAAGCATCTAAGTCAAGAAGTTGGAAATAGAACAACAGAATAAGATGAAGGAAAGCAGGAGGAAATCATAAAGATCAAACCAGAACTCAGTGACATAGAAAATTAAAAAAGAATGATAAATCTAAGAGCTAGTTCTTAAGACAAACAGCAATTAAAAGAATATATACATGTATTCTACTAGTCTAATCAAGAAATTGAAGAAAGCACAAAATTAGATAATGAGAAATATATATAGAAGAAATGAAATGATTTATACTTTGCACAAATTTATTGTGCAAATAAATTGGAAAATGTAGATGAAACAGTTGATTTTCTTGGAAAATATGCCACCAGATTGAGTCCAGAATAGAAAGAAAACTCTAAAAGGCTCCTAAAAGTCAAAGAAATGACACAGCTGTTATCTTGACCAGTTGTTGCTCCTGGGTCTCCTTTGCTGTCGGAGTATCTCAGAGTATAGAGGTAAATTTCTGCTGGGAGGACCTCAGAGCGTGGGTAGGGTGGACATCCTGCTTGGTGAGCTGTCTGCGGTCATTTGACAAGGCTGGCCGCACGCCAGAAAGGTGAAGGTGGCATCAGGACCTATCACAACATGGAGAGCTCTGAGTTGTGTTCTTTTTTTTTTTTTAAACACTTTTCAGATCAATATGCTACTTGAACTGATTCCTTAGAGTCAAAATGTTTTAAACTTTAAATGTTTAATAAATTTAATGTTTAATAAATGTTTAATAATGTTTAAAAAATGTTTAATAAATGTTAATAAACATTAACAAAATGTTTAATACTTTAAACAAAATGTTTAAAGTATTTAAATAACTAGGGGGTTAAACTTCCAAAGCAGGATTGTCCATTAAAAAAGGCCTAAAAGTGTTTTGAGAGGAAAATGAACAGAATAGGAAAAAGAGAAGAATGGTGAGCATCAGAATTCCTTACCTCTTAATTATTTTCATGGAAAATTACCTAATTCTCAAATGCTGGTAAGTGGAACGTCCTATTGGTTAAAAATAAATAGCACAAAGGGTGAGGAAACCAACTAAGGGGGAAAGAAAGCAACTGAATCAGCCACAAGCTGGAAACAGAATAATGAAGTTATGCCAAAGGCGTGGACAGGTCATTACACCAGTTGTCTACCCTCAGGCCAGGGTTCAAGCTCACAGTTGACAAAACACAGTGGTCACGTGGGCTCGAGGGTGACCAGAAGAGCCTGTTTGGCTGAGTCAGGGGAGGGTGGCAGCTCAGCATTTGGTTCTGAAGTGTCTTTGCTGTTTAAAGTGTCTTGTCTTCCTTGAACTTTGAAGTTTCCCCCTCATAATTATTCCAATCTTGATTTAAATAGATGTAATTCTAACTTAATGTCTCCATTTCCCCCTGGTAGCTGGAACAGTGAACCATGGAGCTGTATTTCGGAGAATATCAACACGTGCAGCAGGAATACGGGGTCCACCTGAGACTTGCAAGTGATGAGACCAAAAGGTCGAGGAATTCGCAGCACGCTAAGGCGGGCTCCTATGGCGTCAGTATTAGGGTCCAGGGCATCGACGGCCACCCCTACATAGTCCTGAATAACACGGAGCGGTGTCTAGCAGGCACATCTTTTTCTGAAAATGGGCCACCATTTCCACCTCCGGTGACAAATAACCTTCCTCTACATTCCAGCAATTGTCCCGTGCTAACCGGGAACAGCGCAGAATTGCAGCTCCCAGAAAACCCATACGCCCAGCCCAGCCAAATAAAAAACCCGAAGCCGCCTTCTCTCCACGAGGGCAAGAATGGAGTTCTAGATGGCAAAGATGGGCCAGTGAAGACATCCCACGTGCTGAACTTTCAGAAACACCCAGAGCTTTTGCAGCCTTACGACCCCGAAAAGAGTGAGTTGAACTTACAAAACCACCGACCTCCTGAGAGTCATTGGCTAAAAACTTTAACAGAAGAAAATACCAACAACAAGAAGCCCTGGACTTGCTTTCCCAAACCTAGCACTTCCCAGCCTACCAGCCCTGCCTCGGAAGACCTGGCCAGATCCAGCGTGACGGCCATTCGTTTGTGCAGCTCCGTGGTCATCGATGACCCCAAAAAGCAGACCTCGGTGTGCGTGAACGTTCAGAGCTGCACCAAGGAGGGCGCGGGAGAAGAGGCCCTTTGCCCTGGCGGGAGGCCCCTGGCTGCCCACAGCCCTCACGCCCACCCCGAAGCCAAGAGAACCAGGCCGGACGTTCTTCCCTTCCGGCGACAGGATTCCGCAGGGCCGGTCCTGGACGGAGCCCGGTCCCGGAGGTCGTCCTCGTCATCGACAACCCCCACCTCAGCCACCTCTCTGTACAGGTTTTTGCTGGACGACCAGGACTGCGCCATCCATGCCGACAACGTCAACCGTCATGAAAACAGAAGGTATATCCCCTTCTTGCCGGGAACCGGGCGGGACATCGACACGGGACCCATTCCGGGTGTGGATCAGCTAATTGAAAAATTCGACCAAAAACCCGGACTTCAGAGGAGAGGAAGGTCTGGGAAGCGGAACAGAATCAGCCCAGACGACAGGAAAAGGTCCAGAAGCGTGGATAGCGCCTTTCCGTTTGGTCTGCAAGGGAACTCGGAGTACCTGACGGAATTCAGCAGGAACCTGGGCAAGTCGAGCGAGCACCTGCTCCGGCCGTCCCAGGTGTGTCCCCAGCGGGCGCCCTGTCGGGAGCACCGCGGCGGGAGGCAGAGCTCGGGCCGCGCCTTTGCCAAGCTGCAGGGGGCGGCGCAGGGGGCTGCCCACCCCAGGCCTCCCCAGCAGAACAAAAGTGGGAAAGTTCCGGAAACCAGAGGTAGTCAGGAAAGCACATCGACTGGTGCGTCTTCCCTCCCGGCACAGAGTAAAAAGGAGGAGGAAATAAAAACAGCCACCGCTACGTTGCTGTTACAGAATCGGGCCGTACCAACCACCTCACCTGATTCTGGTGCCAAGAAAATTTCTGTGAAGACATTTTCGTCCACCTCAAGCACTCAGGTAACACTAGTGTGGTTCCTGTCTTGTTTTGCTTTTTTTCTTTCTGAGTGATCTAAATCATGTACTCGTGCTGCAGGAGGAGGTCATAGGAATTTCAGTCTTGAATCAGGAATTGCACATCTGATTTTTTTTTAGGATCAGTTTATGCCCTACCAACAATGTCCTATTGCCAGTTGTGTAGTTTTCTGGGTTCTTTTAAGCACAGCTGGATTCCCTGTGTGGTCTTTCTGTGAAGTAGCTTGTCAAACTCTCCAGAGAGGCTTCAGTTTTCTGTTTGTGTGTGTGTGAAATCTGAAAGTATGCAGAAACTGTTTCCGCACAGAGCTTGAACGGTTAGGTTTGCGTAGATGTATTAATTTTCCTCATGAAATTCAGGGGACCGGGTTAATTTCTAGCCTGAGAAATTAGGTTAATCCTAATTTAGGTTAATTGTATGTAAAGCGATGGAATGTAAGTGGCACCTTTAGTGTTTGGGTAGTCACAATAAAAAATAATGATATTGATAAAAATGATAACGAGGTTGGTTAAGTGCCAGGCACTATTTGTTGTGCATTATAGGATTACATCAGCCCTATGAAGATAGGTACTATTAACCTCCATTTACAGGTGAGAAAATTGAGATGAGGAGAGAAGTTAAGGGACTCACCTAAGGTGACAGAGCTAAGTGTTGTTACTGGCTATAATGAGGATGCTTACCTGGGGCATTGTTTTTGGAAAGTAGGAATGTGTTTAGTCTGCCCGCCTTCCCGGAAATGTCTAGTGATCTAATAACAGATGTTCTGTTCCAGGCCACACCGGATCTCTTAAAGGGCCAGCAAGAGCTCACTCAGCAAACCAATGAAGAGACGGCCAAGCAGATACTTTACAATTACCTCAAAGAAGGGTTAGTGATTTTCCTTAAAGAGCAAAGCATTGCCATTTCTAGTGGGACTCTTAATTTCCTTTTCTGAGGCCTTGTATATTTTACCTTTCCTTCTGCCCTGTGTGAGCCATTGGAGGGTAAAGACTCCGTGGGTGAAGTTTTCATGACAGCATTCAAGTCTTGGGTGGTAGGGGCTGGGGGAGGGGAGTGTAGTAAAAGGCATCATACATTACAAGCTAAAAATGATTATATTTTTTATTATTATTTTTGGGGGGGACAGAGTCTCAACTCTGTTGCCCGGGCTAGAGTGCCATTGCGTCAGCCCAGCTCACGGCAACCTCAAACTCCTGGGCTCAAGCAATCCTCCTGCCTCAGCCTCCTGCGTAGCTGGAAATACAGGCATGTGCCACCGTACCCGGCTAATTTTTTCTATTTTTTAGTTGTTTGGCTAATTTCTTTCTATTTATAGTAGAGACGGGGTCTCGCTCTTGCTCAGGCTGGTCTCGAACTCCTGAGCTCAAGCAATCCTCCCGCCTCAGCCTCCCAGAGTGCTAGGATTAAAAATGATTATATTTTTTAAACAACTCTTTACTGTTTCCAAAGCAAATTCAAAGATAAGAAGAATGTCTGCTGTTCAGGCTTGAATATCACAGTCTACCATCACCTTGAGTTCTTTTGTGCACAGTAGTTCTCAACCAACCCTAATTAGAAGTTGCCAGTGAAAACACCCCCCTCCCCTCCTCAGAGTGAACACTGGCCAGGAGCCCCTGCTTCCATTATTTCTAAAGCATGTGTGAGTCATTTAAAAGCAGCACTTTCCATACTTATCTTGGGGGTTGCTGTTGGAATAATCTTGGTTTCAGTCCTTACTTAGATACTGTGCTGGAATTCTAAGGCGAGGAATTTGAAGTTTCTGTTTCACTTCTCTCATCAGATATGATTAAGAAGAAGAGAAAAACCTTTATAGCCTGACATGAGTGAAAACCTGCCTCTTGGCAAATACTCATTAGTAGTATGAAAACATTTTATATTTTTGTATCTTGCCTTAGAATTATTAATATTTGCCAGTATTATAACCAAAAAACTTCTTCTAGCTAAGAACTATTAACAGTTACTAGTATCTCTCTGTGAAGGGATTAAGGTGGAAGAACTTTTAGCTTTTAAAATTCTTTAAACTCTTTTATTTATTTTATTTTTACATTTTTGGCACATGACTATAGTGGGAGTTGCCTGTTTAAAAAATTTATTTTCAATCTTTTTCTTCTAATTGCTGGGCATGTGGTAGACGTTAATAAAACTTTTATCTGATTGTTACCTGTGGAAGTCCAGACAAAGGGCTGCCATGTGGACAGTCTTGGCTCAGGGGTTTTATTTTTTAAACAGAAGCTAAACAAGTGAAGAATACTGCAGATCACCTTAGTATAAGGTTTAAAGCAAAGTATGTACGTGTGGAAGTGAGAGAGAGACACATACAACAAACAAAAGAAGATTCCTTTTAGGATGAACATGAGGCATTTGAGTCAAATAGCAAATACTAAATTTTCACTGTATGTTTTCCCCAAGTTTATTTAGAATGTGGTATGTCTCTCACATATTTGAAAATGAAACCCTTGTTCCAAATTGAGCAGTAACATATAACAATATATTTGAAGAAAAATATACCATCCAGCCTGCTCCTCTCACACTGGTTTTGTTTGCAGCCTTAATTAATTCATACCTCTTGCAATCTGTCTTCTTAAAGGGCTTGTATATGTGTCATGGCATAAAAAAATACTCGGAGCCCAATGGTCACGTCCCTCATTGTTTTCTCTGCTGCTTCTTTTTCAGAAGCACCGATAATGATGATGCTACTAAAAGGAAGGTCAACTTGGTCTTTGAGAAAATCCAGACTTTAAAGTCTCGAGCAGCAGGGAATGCCCAAGGAAATAACCAAGTAAATTGAAGTTTTGTGTTTTGCAGAGTATATTGAGCAGGGAATATGGTAAAAAAAAAAAAACTTGCTGTTTCTTCAGTCTGTTTGTTTATATTTGGTGGGAAGTTTCCTAAATAGTGAACAGTACTAATCATGTTTTAAATATTGTTCATTTGCATCAGGCCTTTCGTTGAGAAAGGTTTTAAGATATTTTATTTAAAAATACATACACTATAACAAGTGATATAAATAGGTGGTGAGATTTACAAGGGGTAAATAAGAATAGGAAGACTGAAATGACATCGTGGATGGAAAACTCTAGCACTGTTATAGGCTTAGACCCCAGCTCTGGGACTTCAGGTGTGAAAGAGAATGAGGACTAGAGACTGGTGAAGCCGACCAGCATTGGTGCAGGGGAAGGAAGGAGTGGACTGGTGCCAGGTTATTGTTTAAAAACTGCTTGTGTCATTGATTGTGCTGAATTTGAGTTGGTACTTAGAGATTTTTTTGGCTAAAGAAGGAATCATCTCATATTGGATAAACATCTACTATATGCTAGACATAACTCGTGCCCTGAAAGGAAGTAGCACTTAAAAGGATGTTGAGAAACACTTGCTCCTCAACTCTACACCACCTTGTATTAGGACTCATTTCTTGCTTGTGTACTTCCTTCACCTCCCAGGGGAATTCTGCCTGGGCAGCAAAGAGAAGATACCCAGAGGCAGGTAACCCCAAGCTTGTCTATAGCTTTGTCCCAACTTTGGAAACATATGTATAGAGAGTATTTTTAGGCATCAACTACCCTCTTTTCTCTTTACTACTTAGTATTCCAGCACTTAGCTGACCCATGACTGCTACTCTGGTTTTAGATAGAACAATGCTGTGTGTGTGTGTGTGTGTGTGTGTGTGTGTACACAGACACACACAATTCCCACTGGGGAATCTTTAAATCACGCACCTTGCTTTATAGGCAGCCTTTAGGAGCTCTCCATAGTTTTTAAAATTAGTTCAATATTTTATGCTAAAACTCTTAAATCTAAATTATCATCATGATTCTTGCTTTTTGTTTACCTTCATATTCTTAAGAAGAACCCAGCCATTGGCCTTGATGTTAAGATGGTCACTGTGGGTCACAGACTGGGGACAACTAGCCCAAACTGGGGAAGTCAGAATAGTCCTTCTGGAGACAGTGACACTAATGGTGTCCCAAAAGATCACAGTCTAAAAATACATTTCTCAAAAGAAGACATACAGATAGCCAATAAATATAGGCAGAAATGCTCAATGTCACTATATCATCAGGAAGACATAAATGAAAACCACAATGAGGAATCATCTCACCCTAGTACTGAAGGCCATTATGAAAAAGAGAAAAAAAATAACAAATGCTGGTAAGGATGCAAAAAAAGGGGGACTCTTATTCTCTGTTGGTGGGAATCCAAGCTAGTACTCTCACTATGGAGAACAGTGTGGGGGTCCCTCAAAAACTTACAAATGGAACTACCATATGATCCAGCAATCCCACTACTGGGAATTTATCCAAAGGAAAGGAAACCATTATATCAGAGAGACATCTGCACCCCATGTTTATTGCAGCACTATTCACAGTAGCCAAGATATGGAATTAGCCTAGGTGTCCAACAACAGATGAATGGGTAAAGAAAATGTGGTCTGTATACACCGTGGAATACCCTTCAGCCATAAAAAAGAATGAGACCATGTCATTTGCAGTGACGTGGATGGAGCTGGAGGTTGTTAAGTGAAACAAGCCAGGCACAGAGTGTTGAACACCGCGTGTTCTTACTCACATGTGGAAGCTAAAAAAATTGAAGTAAAAAGTAGAACAGAGGATACCAGAGGCTGGGGAGGGTAGGGTGAAGGGAGGGATATGGAGAGATTTGTTAAAGGATTAAAGAAGAGATCATAGAATTCGCTGTGAGAAGAAGGGTGTTCAGGTCAAGGGAACGGCACAAACAAATGTAAGAGGTGTGGGTTTGCCGGGTTTAGGGAACTGGAGGTATGTCGGTATAGCTGGAACACAGAGCCAGGCTGTGGGGAGGAAGGAATCACATAAGCAGTTTCCATTTCAGGCTGAAGGGCATGGGCTACCATTGATGGGTTTTATACAGCACACATACCGTTGTACTTGTAAAAGCCTATTCCTTTTGGAGCATACCACTGTATTTGTAAAAGTTTATTCCTTTTGGAGCTTTTGGAGAGAGGTAGGATTAGAGAACAAGAGACTAATTAAGAAGCTGTGGACGAATCAGGCAAGAGATGATGAGAAGGTGAATTAAGACTCTAGTCGTCTGGCTCCAATCACAGTGCTGTTGCTGTTTAATTGCCCACATTTTCCTCCCTCTTATGTTCTGAATCTGATTATTTGCTGGCAAAAGTTTTGAAGTTTTATCGTCTTGGTGTCAGTTAAGTGACTACTTAGCAGAGGATGTGAGACCCCTCTGCCTTACGGACTGAGACGGTGTTGGAAAACCGCAAGGCAGGTAGAGTTTTTGTTTGCGAAGGAACAATGTACAAGTCCCCCATGGGGTTAGATTTCAGTTTCTAAATGGAATGTTTTCATTTTGCCCAAGAAAACTGGAAGTCCTGTGTTTGTGCAGTTGGGTTCCAGTCTCCTTCTTAGCAGTAGGTGGGGAAGTACCTTGTTCCAAGTTCATCACATGCAACTCACACCTGGATTCAGGGGCATGTGAGCCAACATGCTGCTTTTTCCAGCTCTGACTCCTGCTTTTATCTCTTCCCCTCAGCTATTTGTGGTTTTGGAATCACGTTTCTGTAGGGTTTTAGCCAAATCCTTTTGAGAGCATCATCCTGTTACTTCCATGGAAGAAAAAAATAAGAGATCCATTAATATTCATACTCAGATCAGAGATGCTATTTCCTAATAGATTCTCTTTAATCAGGTCCCTCTTCATTATGGAAATGTAACATCTAAAAGAAGAAAGCGAATTTAGCATACAGGTTGTGCAGAGAACGAGGGATAAACATCCCATTGGTGATTATGGATCAATAGTCTCCAAGTAATGAAAATTCTGTACCAAATGTACATACAAAGAGAACACAGAGATGTGGGCTTTGGGTATAACTTCGTGCAACAGATAAATCTTCAACAAATATTTATTTTTTATATTGTTTTATTAGGATATAACTTACAGTAAAGTTGCACAAATCTCAACTGTATAGTTCACTGGATTTTTAATATAGGTTTGCTTCCATGCAAACACCACCCAGATTAAGATACAGAACACTCCCATCACCTAGAAGGTTTCCTGTGCTTCTTCCCAATTAATTATACCCCCTCCTTTTGGAGGCAATTACATCCTGACTTCTATCATCTACATTAGTTTTATCTTTCTTGAATTTTGTACAAATAAAATTTTACAATATGTACTCTTGTATGTTTAGCTTCATTCTTCATTTCCTTAACATATGTCAGCAAGATTCATTAATGTTACATGTATCAGTAGCTATTTTGTATTGACATATAGCTTTCCTTTATATGAATATACCATAGTACATACTCTTGGTGGACATTTCCAGTTTTTGGCTATTAGGGATAAAGCTTCTATGAACATTATTGTACATTTTTTTTTTTTTTTTTGTAAACACATTCACTCATTTCTCTTGAGACTATGCCTAGGAATAAAATTGCTTGGTTGTAAAGTAGGCATATGTTTAGGTCTTAAATATTGCCAAATGATTTTACAAAGTGGTTGAAATGATTTATGCTCCCAACAGCAATGCATACCAATTCCAGTTGTGATATCTTCTGTGAAAGTTAGACTGTCTGTTTCATTGGTCTGCTTGTCTCTCCTTGCGTTAATACCATTTAGTTTTAATTCCTGAAACTTTGTAGTAAGCCTTGAAATCTGGTAATATATGTCCTCCAACTTTATTCCTCTTTAAGATTGTCTTCGCTATGCTAAGTCTTCTGCTTTTCCATGTAGACTATAGAATTGGCTTATCAATTTCCACCAAGAAAAATTCTCCAGGCATTTTGATTGGAATTATACTGACTGTATATGTAAGTTTGGTGAACCTGACATCTTAACATCATTGGTATTTTTATTCGTGGACAGGAACTTTCCCCCCATTTATTTACATCTTCAACTTCTCCCGGCAATATTCTGTGATTTTTGTTGTATAGGTCTTGCACATCTTTCATTTAGATTTATTCCTTTTCTAGTATTGTCCATTCCTTTTTGTACCTCTGCATTTCTATTAGGACTGTTTTCTTCCAGCCTCAAGAACTTTTCTGTTATATCCTGTAGTATTTTTGTATTGGCAGTGCATTCTGTCAGTGTCGTTTGTCTGAGAATGTCCTTTATTCACTCTCATTTGTGAGGAACTCTAGTTTGGTGAGTATTGTTCTGTTTCATAACTTTAAAGATACTGTCTTTTGATCCCATGGACTCCATTGGGAAGATAGCCATCATCCTTAGTGTGTTTCTCCTGAAAGCAATGTGTCTTTTCTCTCTGTCTGCTTTTAATATTTTATCTTTATTTTTAAGTTTTTAGAATTTTGATTATGATGTGCCTAAACATGTTTTTTTCTTGTATTCATCCTACTTGGGGTTCATGGAACTCTTGAATCAACAGGTTGCTGAAGTTTATCAACGTTGAAAAATTCTTGGCTGTTCTTTCTTTGAATATTGCTTTTTTCACATTCTCTCCTCAGATTCCCATTACATGTACTTTGGAAACTTTGATGATGTTGTTTATATCTCTTGGGCTCTATTCTGTGTGTGTGTGTGTATGTGTTTTGGTATATCAGGTATTCTGGATGTTTTCTATTGATTTTTCAAATTCATTAATCTTCTTTTCTGGCTATATCAGCCTTCTTTTAAGATTTGCTCTTTTAAGATGTCCTTAAAAGAACCTTTTTCTTCATCCTTCTTTAAAGGCAGTTCTTAAAAGAGTGAGATCTTAAATTTCAGATATTTTGTGTTGCTACTCAAGAATGGCTACTTGATTATATTTTTACAGAATCTAGTTATCTGTGGAACTCCATTTTTAAAATCCATTTTGTCCGTCCATCATTTTCTCTATTTAAAAAAATAATATTTGTTATTCTGATAGTCCTTATCTGATAACTCCAATCTCTGGGTCATCTCTGCCTCTATTGTCTATTTCATCCCTTGATCAGTGTTTTTCCTACTTCTTTGCATGTCTAGAATTTTCTTTTTATTGTATGCTAGACATAGTGAATGACGAGTTATAGCTGTTTTGGATTGCGCTATCTCCCCTTGAAGAATGTTGAGCTTTGTTTTGGCAGTCAGTTATTATAAATTACTGATAGACCACCTTGATTCTGCATGCTTGGTTGTTTTTGGCATTGTTAAGGTGGGTCTTTTTAAATTTTTGCCTTACTTCTACAGCATGACTCATATTCCTTTTTGGGGTTTCAAATGAATGCCAGGATGCCCATCCAGGTTTTTCTGTTTTGGCTGAGCTGGAACACGTAATCTTTTTATGGTCTCCATTGTTTTGTCTTTTCCAGTTTGTCATATATGTGGAATCATATAGTATGTCGCCTTTTCATATTGGCTTATTTCACATAGTTATATGTATTTAAGTTCTTTTCCATACCTTTCAATGGCTTGATAGTTTATTTCTTTTTAGTGTTGGGTAATATTCCATTACCTGATGTCCCAGTTTATCCGTTCACCTGCTAAGGACACCTTGGTTGCTTCCAAGTTTTGTCAGTTATGAATAAAGCTGCTATAAAACATCCATGAATAGATTTTTTGTGAGGACGTAAGTGTTCAGCTCATTTGGGCAAATACCAAGGAGCACAAATGCTGGGTCATATGGTAAGAGTATGTTTTTAGTTTTGTAAGCGACTGCCACACTGTCTTCCAAGGTAGCTGTACCATTTTGCATTTCCACAAATAATGAATGAATGAAAACACCAGCATTTGGTGTTTCAGTGTTTTGGATTTTGGCCATTTTAATAGGTATGTAGCGTTATCTCATTGTTATAGTTTGCAATTCCCTCATGACATTGTTTGGGCATTTAAAATTTTACTGTGCTGTGGTTTGGAAATGCAGTCAGGGAAAACCCAGGATGAATGGGGGACTACCTCACATGTTTCCCTTTTAAAGATTATAGCCCTGCATTGGTTGTTTTTTAGTGCCTGCAAATAATTGTTTTATGTATTTTATCTGGCTTTTGTAGTTTTTGCTGGGAGGGTAAATCTGATATTAGCTACTGTATCATGACAAAACCGGAATCCCAACAATCATTTATTAACATTTGATTAAATGTAGGAGAAGTGTTGGGTTCTGTAGAGTCAGAGTCAGAGTTGGGCATAAGACATGGTCCCTGCCCTCCAAAAGTTCATAATCTTACGTAGTGAGTCTCAAACTACTCCTGAGAAACACTGAAGCTAAATTGTGTTCTATCATTAAAATAGAAAAAGGAATGTCTTTCCCCAGCTTACTTACAGGAAGGTTTTGTTGCTGATTTTTTGTTAACCGCTGATTTCTATGGACTGGAATCTAGAAGTTATTGTGGAGAAGCTTTTGAAGTTTTACTTATCCTAAATTTAATACGTTAATATTTTATAATATTCTAAAGAACACATTAAGGACTTCTAATAAATATGCTACCTATGCAAGTTTTAGTCACATTCGACTAGTGTTGAGATATCTGATGAAATAATTCTTGTGGCTGTGGTAAATGCTGTAAAATAAAGTTCGGTGGAGTCACAGGGGGGCCGGCCGGCATGGTTAGCTCTGCCTGTAAAGTCAGGGAAGGTTCTCTGTAGCGGTTGACATTTGAAATGGGTCTTAGGATGTTTAATGTTATGCCTCATCTGTTACTGCATGGATTATATTTGGGGAGAGAAGAGAATTAAAATAAAGCATCCTGATGAACATTTAAATTAGGATATTTTTTGCAATTAATTATAGGCTTCTAATTCCTCATCTGAAATCAAAGATCTATTGGAACAGAAAAACAAGTTGACTGTAGAAGTGGCTGAACTTCAGCAACAGCTTCAACTAGAAGTCAAGGTATCTGGTTTTTCCTCTATGCTATTTTATCCATTTCTGTCTTGGTTGATAAAGAATATTTTATGCCCATGAGGAATGGCTCAGGTGAAGGGAAGGGCCTCATTCACCTGAATGGCCTCAGGTGAAGGGAAAGCCATTTTCCAAAAGAAACATTCCTCTCATCACTGAGTACATTCCTCTGTGTTTGGCTGCTGCTGTCTAAACAAATTTTATTTTTAAGTCACCACAGCGTTTACATAGTACAAGAAATGCTGCTGCATTCAGGCAGGCCAACAGGAAACGAAATGTGCATAAAACATATCCGAACTAAATAATAGACACAGCAGAATGAGGTTTAGCTGTGTCTGTGTTTTTTTTTTCCTTTTACACGATTACAGTTCATTCAATATAAATATTTAACACTCTTTCCAGTTACAAACTCCTGCGCCTTAGCGATGTACTTTGATTAAGTTGTTTAATAACATGTAAGTGCAAAGACACGGCGCCCAGTGGAGACTGGAATGGGCTTCTGTGGGAGTAGGCGAACGACCAGCGGAGGTGCTTTAAAAATCACGCTGATTCACGTTACAGAATCAACAGAACATCAAAGAAGAGAGGGAGAGAATGAGAGCCAGCCTGGAGGCGCTCCGAGGCCAACACGACTCCAAGCTGGAAGAGAACTCCGAGTTGCAGCAGCGACTGGAGGAGAGCGAAGGGGAGCTCCGCAAGAGCCTGGAGGAGTGAGTTCTGGGCCCAGAGCCCGTTACCCCGCCTGGCTTCTCCTGTCGTCGGTAGCCAGAGCGCTTTTGCCCTTTTAACACTACCCAGCTTTCCAGATATTTGTAGAGGCTGCCCACCCTTCTTATCCTTGTAAAACCGTGAGGCTGGCAACGGGTGTAGACCGATGATAAGCAGAAAGGTTAATAATTATTAAAATTCCTTGTACACCTCGAAGTGTGTCTTACAAAGTTTCAGCCCTTGACGTGGATCTCATAGCAGGTAAGTGGGAAGCGGAGAATGCTGAGTGGTGATATCTAAAGATAGCTTTCAAGGAGCCTGGGCCCAGCTTCTAAAAAGCAGGGGTCAGCCGGGCGTGGTGGCTCATGAGGCCTGTAATCCTGGCACTCTGGGAGGCCGAGGAGGGAGGGTTGCTTGAGGTCAGGAGTTAGAGACCAGCCTGGGCAAGAGTGGGACTCTGTCTCTATTGAAAATGGAAGAAAAAAAAAAAATCATCCGGTCAACTAAAAATAGAAAAAGTTAGCCGGGCATGGTGACCACGCATCTGCAGTTCCAAGTAATTGGGAGGCTTAGGCAGGAGGATTGCTTGAGCCCAGGAGTTTGAGGTTACTGTGAACTAGGTTGATGCCATAGCACTCTAGATGGGGCAACAAGAGTGAGACTCTGTCTCTAAAAAAAAAAAACAAAAACAGAAGCCTGCAGTGGAAGGGTAAGCAGGAGTGAAATCTAGAGGGAAGTTCTCGAAAAATAGGGCGTTCGATTGCCCTTGTGATTGTGGTGTTGGAATTTTTGCTTTTAAAACATTCATAGAGGTTCCTTTGAGAAAGGTTAGTAAGGGAAAAAGTTAGAAAATTTAGAGTTGTGAGTTTGGTTTAGAGGAGAGTTTCACAACCTTTTTCTTGTCAGTGATAATTTTAGGGTTTGCAGTCCAGGTAGTCTTTGTCGCAACCGCTCAGTTCTGCCATTCTGTTGTGGACATGGCCACTCACAAATGAATGAGCATGACTGTGTTCCAGGACAACTTGATTTGCAAAACCAGGCAGTGGGCTGAACTGGCCCAGAGTTCGTAATTTGCTGACTGTCCTGGTCTGGAAGACAGGGCTCGTGGAGGGTGGATGGGTGAGGTGGCTTTAGTGAAAAAAAAAAAAAATCAACAGTGTTGGTTTTTGTCATTTCTTCTTCTTCTTTGTCCAAATTCTAGCACCCTATGGTATCCTTTTGGGGAGAAAACGTCCTATATAACCTCCTCCAGTTCATTGGTTGGAGTCCTCACTCGTCCTCTTGTTAGACCGAGTTAGACCGAAGCTGTGAGTTCTTACCAGGTGTTTTTTCCGGTCGGCGATTCCTTGTTCAGTGCAGAACAGAGGGTGGGAGGCTCCTGGGGGCTTTAGACGACTCTGCTGAGGGTCTGAAATCAGACTGGATGAAGAAGAGCAGAGCCCAGGAGAGCCTCTCTGACGAGCTTCCCTCCCTGCCAGGCTGTTCCAGGTGAAGATGGAGCGGGAACAGCACCAGACCGAGATCCGCGACCTCCAGGACCAGCTCTCAGAGATGCACGACGAACTGGACAGCGCGAAGCGATCTGAGGACAGGGAGAAGGGGGCTCTGATCGAGGTGAGGGGCTGTGGGGGCAGGGGGCCAGCGAGGCCCACCTGCATGGGGAGGGAGGAGGGGTCAGGGGATTGAGTTACTACGAGCCATTTTCTGTTGTGTGCATTTGCCCCACCCGTGCCTGTGATTAGATTCTGTGAGTGTGTCGCATGTAGTTTCTAAACGTTGTCGTAGGAAAAATGTCAACCATACAGAAAAGGATAAAGAATACCACATTAACACCCATAGACCCCCAATGTAGATCCAACAGTTGTCAATATTTTGCCATATTTACTCTGTTTTTTTCATTTGTCCTTCCATTCATCCTTCTGTTATTTTTGTTGTTGTTTACTACTGAACCATTTCAAAGTCAATTACGCATAACAGCATACCTCACTCCTAAGTTTTTTTAAACATGTTTCTTTGAAAAATTAGAGAATTTTCTTACCTAGCTGCAAGACCATTATCACACCTAAAAATTAATAATTTCTATAATATAATAATAATATATATTTTTTTGAGACAGAGTCTCGCTCTGTTGCCCAGGCTAGAGTGAGTGCCATGGCGTCAGCCTAGCTCACAGCAACCTCAAACTCCTGGGCTCAAGTGATCCTTTTGCCTCAGCCTCCTGAGTAGCTGGGACTACAGGCATGCGCCACCATGCCCGGCTAATTTTTTCTATATATGTTAGTTGGCCAATTAATTTCTTTATATTTATAGTAGAGACGGGGTCTCACTCTTGCTCAGGCTGGTTTCGAACTCCTGAGCTCAATCAATCTGCCCGCCTCGGCCTCCCAGAGTGCTAGGATTACAGGCGTGAGCCACCTCGCCCGGCCAATAATAATTCTTATACTCAGTTCTTATTCGGAATTTCCCAGTTTTCTGGCTCCCCCCGCCCTGTGTATTTATTAGTTGATTTTTTTTCTCCCCAAGCCAGGATCCAATCAGGAATGGCACAGTGCTGTCATTGTTCCCTCTCTGAGTTCATTTAGCATAGTATGTACCCCCATCCCATTTCATGCTCCTTCTCCCACCCCACCGACCTTCTGACGAGACCGGAGTAGGGCCGCACATTCTGTTTTTATCTGATTGTTCCCTTATGGTGTCCACTAACTAGTTCTACTATTCCCTGTAATTCTAGTAAATTGGAAATTAGATCTAAACACTAATAGATTCGAGGTAAACTTTGGACAAAACTATGTTGTAAGTATGCTGTTTATGGAAAAACATTTTAGAGACATGACGATTATATTATTGCTCAAGCAGCAAGCACTTACTGCAGGTTAAGTTTTACTTGTTTAAGGCTCCCACGTGACCATAAGCTCCATAAATGCAGAGTTGGCTCAGTGCTTGTATGTGCAGGGGCTATCGCAATGCCTGGGAGGTGTAGCAGTCAGGAAATATTTGGTGGACTATTGAATGGATCAAGGATTAGTCAATGAATAAAGGAAAATACTCGACTTGCTGTATACCCAGGCTGCCTGTCTGGTTTCTGCCCATAAGAGTCACTGAATATTTCACTCTTATGAGTCAGTGGATAAGCTGGACTTTTTCCTCTCTGCTTAGCATTTGTTAACTATGATGGGGTTTTTCATAGACTGTTACTATCTGGTCCCTGAATCCGGTTATATCCTGTTGAGGTGTCACGTACACATGTATGAAATGTTTAGAAAGCAAGAATGTTGGTTTTGAACATCATTTTTTGTTGTTGTTAGAAATAAATATAATCGAGGGTCAGAAAAAGAACTTTTATCTCTTGTACCTGTTTAGATGTTTGATATACTTGCTATAACATTATCAACACCTGTATTTTGGGAATAGTTTTGAAATTTATTTCTTTATATGCTTTGGTTTATGGGAACAGCCTGAAAAATACATGATACACCATTTAAAAGAAAGCTAAAAAAAAAAAAAGTCAAAAAATAAAGGTACTTTGCTAGTTTTAATTTTTTACTTCCTCCCCTTAGGCTTAAGTGTTTTCTTTGTCCCTTGTTTGGGGTTGGAAGCTTCTGGCTCTTACATCTCTGGGGCTCTCTTTAAGTCTCAGTTGTGTAAAGTGTTTTCTCACTCCCTTCCTCCTTTAGTTTTGAAATAATTGCCCAGGAAGGATTTTAGTTCCTGCTTTTTAGAACTTCGCCTCTCTCTTCCCCAGGACTTGGGCAGAGCTGAGAGGAGAGTGTAGCAACCTAGCACGGGAGTTCTCATGAATTCGATTTTTACATGGGCAGAGTAGAGCACTTTGCTCTTCTGCCCACATGACCCTCTCTGTCCCTCTTTAGACCTTTTCTCCTGAGAAGGCCTAAGCCTGTTCTTTTTTAGTATTTCTCTTTTTATCAAACGATCCCTTAAAAACCACCCTGTTCTTGGAATTACGCCGCTTCTCATGACTCTGCCTTCTCTTAGGGCTCAGAGTTGCAAAGACAAGGTACATTAGAATGGGGCTTTGAAAATGATTGTATTTATCACAGAAATAATATTAAAGCAATATAAAATGAAATTTTAAAATGAGGACACACACACATTTTCCTAATGCCTGAAAAACCATTTTTATTTCTGGGCTGGGTGTGGTGGCTCACTCCTGTAATCCTAGCACTCTGGGAGGCTGAGGTGGGCGGATTGCTCGAGGTCAGGAGTTCGAAACCAGCCTGAGCAAGAGCGAGACCCCGTCTCTACTATAGAAAATAGAAAGAAATTAATTGGCCAACTAATATATATACAAAAAATTAGCCAGGCATGGTGGCACATGCCTGTAGTCCCAGCTACTGGGGAGGCCGAGGCAGTAGGATTGCTTGAGCCCAGGAGTTTGAGGTTACTGTGAGCTAGGCTGTCGCCACAGCACTCACTCTAGCCTAGGAAACAAAGCGAGACTCTGACTCAAAAAAAAAAGCCCAAAAAACAACCATTTTTATTTCTGTATTTTCTGTTTGCCGCCCTATGCATCGATGGGTTTTATCCACCCATTTATAAGTAGTACGGGGACAAAATCATAGTGTCTTTACAGTCTGTTACCTGCTATTAAAAGTTGATATGTCAGAAAAATTTTTCCTTATTATGCTTTATAGTCTTCATCTTTCTTTTTTTTTTTAAGGAGATAAACCGTAATATATTTAACCATTTTGGTATATTTGTTTCTCTTTTTTTGAAATTATGAACAAATGTGAACATTTTTTACATATATCTTTTTACTACTTTAAAAAAATTTCTTAAAGATAAGTTCCCAGAAAGGTCACTGAGCAGCTTATGGCTTTTAATAAAAGAGTAGCTTCACAAAACAAATTTGAATAGAAGAGGAGACTTTGTCATATTCTGTGATTCCTTGTGTGGACATTTTATTGGTTCTAAAAGGGAAAGATGTTATTTTAGTCCTTGGGAATCTCTTGAGTTACTGATTTCCCCCTAGTAACTGAAACTTGTTAGTTGTTAGTTTCCCTTTCCCTGATACCCTCTGTCCTTCTAGATTCTCTATGTTAACTAACACACTTGACCTTGCACTATTTTTGTACCTATCTCTTTCTTCTACTAGCTAGCTAATTCAAGACATATCATCTTTGCTTCTTCCCCCATTTCATGCTTAGCACAGTGCCAAGCAACAGAGCAAAGGACTAAATACTTTTTAGTATTAAAATTACTTTTAAAATGTCACCATTTTGAAAAAGGAGTAATTCAAAAATGAAGTGCATACGTCTTTGCCCCTTTAAATACACTCTGCTGTGCATATATTAAATGTATAGGACTATTAATCAAATTATTGATAAATTAATTATCAGATTAATAAACTACTTACCATTAATAAACTAATTATTAATTTATTATCATAAATCAAACTAATTAAATAGTTTCCTTTTTTTTTTTTTTTTTTTTTTACCATTGGTAAATAGGATAAGGACGTGAGCCTCAGTTTTGATGATGTGTGTTGAGTGGATAATGAGAGATACCAGAACACAACACAGCATGTATTTTCTTAAAAACATTCCTGATATTGCTGTCTTTCTGGTGAATGGCTCCTTTCTTATAACAGGAACTATATCATTTACTGCTGCCTTTCTGCAGGATGAGTTAGGGCACAATTAGCTTCTCTCTGCCCAAGTGGGTTTCTTTCCCTCCAGAAAAATCATCCTCTGTTTTTATCAGTTTCCTTTGGTGTGTCAGCAACATTTAAAACGTGATCCATGGTTTCTACATCACTAATAAAATAGACCCTATCTCCTGTCACTTTCAATTTATTCTTCATATCTTAATAAAAAGTGGCCTGGGGGGAGTTGATAAAAGATTATAGTTGTGGCCAAATTTACTGTGGCATCTGGCTTAGAACAGACCCTTTGTTTGTTTGTTTGAGACAGAGTCTCACTTTGTTGCCTGGGCTAGAGTGCCATGGCATCAGCCTAGCTCACAGCAACCTCAAACTCCTGGGCTCAAGCAATCCTTCTACCTCAGCCCTCCCGAGTAGCTGGGACTACAGGCATGCACCACCATGCCCGGCTAATTTTTTGGATATATATTTTTAATTGGTCAATTAATTTCTTTTCTATTTTTAGTAGAGATGGGGTCCCTCTCTTGCTCAGGCTGGTTTCGAACTCCTGACCTTGAGCGATCCTCCTGCCTTGGCCTCCCAGAGAGCTAGGATTACATGCTTGAGCCACGGTGCCCAGCCTAGAACAGGCTCCTAAACTCCATGAACGTTAAACACTCCAGCTTTTGAATGTTTGAAAAAGGTTAAAGGCCCAAATTTTGTAAAACCTGCAGGACAGACCAGATTTTTTATGAAATTTCTGTTAACATTTCACATTGCGTTAAATAACATCAGATTCCTGTATGCAATTGGTAAAGTTAAGAGAGAATAAAATAAAAAAAAAAAAAAAAAAAAAAAATGAAGGAAAGGAAGAAATAGTAGAAAATACTTTGTTTTCTTAGGATAAGCCATATAATTGACCAACAATAGGATGACTTTGTTATTCTTTTTTTTTTTTTTTTTTCTTTTACCAAAGCTAACTGACCCAGATATTCTTTTTTATTTTTGAGACAGAATCTCGCTTTGTTGCCCAGGCTAGAGTGCGTGCCGTGGCGGCAGCCTAGCTCACAGTAACCTCACACTCCTGGGCTCAAGCAATCCTGCTGCCTCAGCCTCCCGAGTAGCTGGGACTACAGGCATGCGCCACCATGCCCGGCTAATTTTTTCTGTATCTATTAGTTGGCCAATTAATTTCTTTCTATTTATAGTAGAGACGGAGTCTCACTCTTGCTCAGGCTGGTTTCGAACTCCTGACCTTGAGCAATCCACCTGCCTCGGCCTCCCAGAGTGCTAGGATTACAGGCATGAGCCACCGGGCCCGGCCGACTTTGTTATTATTCTTAGTTAAATTGAGGATTTTGAAATTTTTTTAAAACTCAAATTGTAAAAATGATCGTAGAACAAATTTTCAGCTCCTTTGTCCCTTTGTTTTGAGGGTGACGAGTCAACGTGAGACAGCTCTCAAGTTGCCAGGATACTGGCATTCGTTTTCTAATTATCAGATGTGTCCTTCGATGGGAGCCCGAGGTGCTGAGATAAGGGCTTCACTCCAACGTAGTCGGGCGGTGGTTTATTCCTGGCTCTTGCCAAGATGCGTGTACTTCAGTCACGCTGAAGTACCCAGGTTATAAAATTGCAGTGATCTGAGGATGGACTGTGCTTAGAAGTTGGGTCTCCACAACTTCTTTTGTAGTGATGTTACTGAACATTCTGCAAATTTCAATTTAAAAAGCAACTAAAAATATCATGGTTCTCACTCAGCTGTGTGATGCTTCCTAGGCAGTCCTTATGGGAAAAAAATTACAGAGTTTGATATAAAACCTTATAGTTTTGATGGAAAACCTTTCACCCTGTCAGTGAGCCTGGGCCAGAGATAGGGACCCTATAGAACTTTCTCGAAGTGTGAATGCAGATGAGGGCCTGGGGCAGTGTCTTCCTCGTTGTTGATGTGGAGGACCTGTCAAGAGGTGGCAGGTGACACAGAGCTTTCTGTGGGCTAATAAGTTGCCACTCGGGACACTCTGGTGCCTGTCAGAAAAGGTCCCCGCCCGTGCTGTGGGAGCAGCCACCTGCTGCTGCTGGTAAGAGCCAGTCCCGGGCTGTGTACTTCCTTTTGCTCTCAGCTTTCCTTCTTTCTTGTCTTTTCAGGCTCTGGTCAGGTTTCTTTGCTTTAGTTTAAAAAAGTGGACCTCCTTCCAGGTACTTCCAGCCAAACAGTGCTCCGTTCCGTTTGCATCTAGCAGGTGGTTGCAGTGTAATTATTATTTGCTCTTCAGCCTTCATGCATGTGTGTGGTTTTGAGGTCAGGTGCGTGGTGACTGTATGGTGAAAAGACGGAGGGTGTTGGGATCCCATCTGGGCCCCAGTCTTGGCTCTACTGCTTGGAAGCTGTGTGATCATCTTAGGCATGTTAGCATCTCAGAGCTCCGACTTCTTTTCATTTATGAACGAGAATAATAATATTCGTGTTCTCGAATATTCATCTTTTTGGATTTTTTGGAAATGCTTAGAGCAATTCTTGTTATGCATTAAGTGCCAAACACAGTCAGCCTTTCTACTTCCCCTGGTCCCGACACACACACATTTACGCACTTGGTTTTTATCTCTTGGCTACTTGTTCCATCTAGGGAGTAATTCTGAATGCCGAAAGGTTTTAAAAGCACCGATTCTAAATAGCCAACATTTTCCCTTGTTTTCTTTCTCACTGGGGTCTACAGAGAGGCATGTTCACCCCTCTGGATGTTTACTTATATTTTGAAGTTTATGTATTTTTTCCCTCCCTTCTTGTTGCAATTAAACTTGGGGTGGTGGAGTGAAGTTTCTGAAACCTCATGTACCTTTTGGTCTCCACTCTGGAAAACTTCAAGCGCTCCTAAGCGACACGGCGAGGTGTAATCTGATTGGATTTGCGCGGCACGGTCCACTTAAGCAACAGCCCCAGCCACAGATAACAGCATGTCGGTGTAAAATGGACCCTAAAAAGCTCACTTCTTGACATGCATTGGCGGCAGTGCACGAAAGGCAACACAAAACACAGATATATCCTTGTCTTAAGTGTGGGAAGAGGAACTGTCTTATCGTGAAAACAATTGAGAAATGTGTGAGAGTAAAAGCAGGAAACAGGGGTCAGAATCAAGGGAAGACGCTGGCGGGAGGCTCCAGGAAGCCTTAAAGGGGTAGCCGGTAGCAGCAGTGGGGGGGGGGGGAGGCTCTGATCCTCCCTGGGGAGAGGCTGGGCAGGGGTAGCAGTGCGTCCCCGTCGATAAATAGCAGGACATGATGCATTTTCGCAAAATCTCTGTGTTTGCTGCTTTGAAAGAGCCAGAGCTTCCTTTGTTACCTGGATGGGCCTCTTGCTGTTTCATTCGAGCTCGCTGATGCCTGCTGGTGAGATTTTTGATGGGGAAGGTCTTGGTCTATGCAGTGCAGCTCCACCCTGGGATTGTAGACGTTCCCTGGTTCAATGGAGGTGCATGTCCTATAGAAAAAGAGATTTCATTGTCAGTTATTCTTAAATCAACACAAATGTTTTCATCCCTTCTTCAGTGACACCATTCTTGAATGGAAACTAGCTTACCTCCCCCGAGGCCCCGGGTCCCTAAGTGTCAGCCATTCTTCCGCTTCCCCGGGATCTCCAAAAGAAGAGGATTTGTTCTTATTCAGAAGCCACAAGTGAAGGAATATGGTAGTTTAGAATGCTGACATCTCCAGACTCCTGCTGTGCTGCACATGCTAACTTATTTACATCCAGAACAGACAAGCGCTCTCAATGTCATTGATTAATATCATGATCAATATCATTGATCCATGCATCAAACATATGAATCAGAGCTATATCCTCCTTTCAAGAGGCTGACAGTCTAGTAGGGGAGATAAGAAGAATGATCGAAATATATAGAATGCAAGATACAAATGTTAAATGCTGTGAGAAGAGCGGCTAAAATGAGATGGGTATTCAGGAAGGGACCTCAAGGAAGACTTCTTGGAGGAGGCGTATTGTTTTTGAGTCTTCAAAGAACTTCTGAAAGGCAGGGCCAGGAGGGCCTGAGAGGGGGGAGAAGGCCACTCCAGGCAGAGGATGCTGAGTGGATGTTGTCATAGAGGCTGCAGGGAGCATTCAGGTTGGCTGCACAGGAAGTGAGGAGGGCCCAACCCAGGGAAGTGAGGAAAAGGTTCTACGATTTCTCAGAACTTTTCGGTTGTGAGGGGCATGGGTGAGAGAAGTCCAAGTTGTTGCCAGGTTTCTGAGCGTAGGTGCTTAGGGGGCAGGTAGTGCTGTTGACAGGAATAATGAACAAAGGGAGAGGAAAGGAAGGCATTCACTGCAGAATTCACTTAAAAGTGTCATCCTACCGAGTCCGAGGTTCCTGCAGGAAATCCAGGTGGATTCGTGTGGGGGGTCATTGAATGTTAGCGCAGGTCTGAACTCAGAGAAAGGCTGGACGTAAAGGTTTGGGAGTCTGTTACATAGAATTAGTAGTTGGAGAAAAATAGAGGAGTCTGCCGAAAGAGAATAAAGAATGCTGAGTTGCATTCTTGGGGATCATTGTAGCTTTTAGGAAGAGGGAGAGAAAAGCCAGAAAAGATTATCACAGAAAAAGTGGCCTTTGGGAGAAAACGGGAGAGTGTGTCGTCTTTATATTAAAAGGAAGAAGAGACTCTTAAGGAGACGGGCAGAGAGGATCAAAGAGGGCTCAGGAACATTGAGGACTGAGAAAGAGTCCCTGGTTGTGGCGATTCGGAGGTTACAATGACCTTGGAGAGGGAGCTGTCTTAGTAGAGTAGGGACATAAAGATAGCAAGAGGTTAAGGAGTAAATACGTAGTGACGAAGTCGAGACAGTGAACCTAAGCTGGCGTGCGTGCCTGTGGTCCCCGCCACTCAGGAGGCCGAGGTGGGAGGATCGCTTGAGCCTGGGAGTTGGAGGCTGCAGTGAGGCTGTGATCATTCCTGTGAATGGCCGTTGTACTCTAGCCTGGGCAACGTAGCAAGTCCTCATCTCTAAACAAATAAGCAAAAGAAAATTTAAAAACGAAGGCTTTAGTGCCCACGTAAAAGAAAAATCACGCTTTCAAAAAGTTTGGTGGTAACGCTTGCAGGGGAGCCAAGATTGAAGAAAACAGAAAAGACCCAAATGGCAGCGAGAGGAGATGACGGGTGGAGTGGAGACTGGGAGTGGGCCGGCAGGGGCGGTGACCCGGGTGGGGAGAGGGCCGGAGCGCAGCGTGGAGGTGGGAGGAAGATGAGGGCTCTGCTGGACGGCCCAGGCCTCCGCCAAGTCTGCAGGTGGGGGTGAGCCCTGGGCTGCTGGGGCCCCAGGAAAGTCTCGGGCAAAGGTGTTGAAGTGGGGGGAATGCTGAGCCTTTGGCAGGACACACTTGGGTTCAGGCAAAGTGATTTGCAGTGGAACTTGTTGCCCCAGTTTTGTGACTTTCCTTATGAACTCTTGGCAGTTGAGGAGGAGAAAAGGTGAATATTGTGCTCTGCTCAGATGGACAAATGAGATAGGGGGAAAATGCGCCAAGTCTTCCTGAGCGCGAGGAGCGTGGATTGGGGTTTGCCCGCACGCAGGGGCAGGAAGCAAGTAGGGCCAGCGAGTCAGCGTGTCCCCCGGGAAGCAGCAGCAGGTGCAGGGCAACAGCAAGGGTGACAGACCGTTACGTAGAAATGAGACGAGATGGTTCCCCCCAAGGCAGTGACAGTTACGTCCGTTTCCCTTTTTCCCCCTCACATTCAATGGCATCTCCAAGAAGCCAAGACAGACATATCCAAGGGGATGATGGTCTCTGAGAGGTGCAGGGGGGAGAGGAAGAGATGGTCTGCACAGGTGTGTGGGCCGAGGAAGGAAGAGCAGCGGGGACAGGGGAGGTGGCCGTACATCGGGCGGCCGCCCTGGAGGGGGGAGATGTTTAATCTTCGCCTCCCTGCTTCATGTTTCCCGCGATAGGAGCTCTTACAGGCGAAGCAGGATCTTCGAGACCTGCTGATCGCCAAGGAGGAGCAAGAAGACCTCTTGAGGAAGCGGGAGCGCGAGCTCACTGCCCTGAAGGGAGCCCTGAAAGAGGAGGTGTCCAGCCACGATCGCGAGATGGACAAACTGAAGGAGCAGTACGACGCGGAGCTGCAGGTCCTGAGGGAGAGCGTGGAGGAAGCCACCAAGGTGAGCATGGGGGAGACTCCGGCCTGGGGCAGGAGAAGAGGGTAGGACCACCTCTCCCACCCTGTTGCTGGGTGTCTTCCTTCCTTTTAGTCACAGAGTGAAACTCACTTTCATCCAATCATGGAAACAGAGCTTGTTCACGAGGAATGAGCTCAGTGGTTCTGCTGTAGACTTTCAAAGTCTGTAGACTTCAACATAGTTAAAGACATTGGTTGCATCCATGGCAGGACGGGAGATTTAGCGGCCCTCGAACGAATTTTTGAAGTTCTGCAGCCCCTTGCAGTGAGGAGCTGCGCTCTCTCAGGCATTCCTAAAGGTCACAGGCTTAAGGCATCGTGTGACTTTGCTGATGGGGAGAGTTGCAGACCGGATGCAGATTTCTGGAACCCTTTACCCTTGCCCCTAGTCTGTTCCTTTTGATTTTGTGCAGCCTTTTGTTAGACAATTCGAGTTCTTTTTTTCAACAGAGTCACAAGAGGGTTAATTGGCTGAATTGCCCAAACCCTAACAAGATAATTTTACTCTTAATTGAATTCTTGGCTCCTACAAATAGATTCGAAAATTATGTTGGAGCCTTTTGGTGCAGGCCTGTTGGCTGTTGAAGAAGAGAAAAACAATATTTCGAAGGGGAAAATGCTTTGAAATATCATGCCATCTTTAGGGAAAGAGGGGAATTACAGAGCACAATTTTTTCAGAGTCTCTTCAATCTATAGGTGAAAAAATGTACTCTTGGTATTGTTTGTTTATTCTGTGACGATTACAGCGACAGCTCAGAGATAGTAGGCCCTCTCCCCGAAGCCCCATGGTGATTCACGGATTTTCAATTATGGCACAGTAATTGCAAATGACAAGGAGTGAAAGATGGGTTTGTTTGTTATAACAATAAAAAGTCTGGGAAATAGTCTGTTTGGGGTTATTACAACTTTGAGACGGTTTTAAAAAGCCTCTTGTCGATTTGCCTATCTTAGCTTTTATTGAGATTTGATTGAATCTGAGAGAGAAAAGCGAAACTGATTTGATTTGCATTGCTCTGAGGGGACATGCCCGTTTTTTGCATCTCATTTCATTTCTGTGCAACAGCCCAGTGTCCTTGCCGTTGACCTCTGTGTGCTGTTGCTTCATCAGGTTCATGCCAACAGGCTCTGCGTGAAAGGGTTCTCCTTTGTTCTCTCGTTACTTCCTTATCACCCTCAGACCTTGCCTTGAAGTTCAAGGTTAACATGATATAGTCTGGGTGGCTCACTGAAGGGGAGTTGAGAACAGTGTTTGGGCATATATGTATGTGTGTAGTGATTTGTCCGTAAGGAAAATCAAACTCGTGCCACACATGGAGCACGGGAGATATTTTATTGGAAGCTTCTAGGTTCTGGACTGCCACAGACACTTAAGTAGGGAAAGGAAATGTGGCAGATGAGAGAGGATGTCTTTGTTGCACGGAATTGAGATCATCAGTAGAGACTTAAGTCACTGCATTCTGCCCCTGTCGAAGGTCTGCGTTGAATTTTCATTATGCCTATTCAAGAAAGATAACTGCATTGACCGGCATCAGTCTAAGAAAGAAACAACAGGTGGGTTAGTCAAAACATGTACCACTGGCAGAGAAGTTGAGGCTTCTGGACACAAAGGGGGTTGCATCTTAGTACCCCTTGGGGTGTGAGCCAGCAAGGGCTCTTTGCTCTAGGTGGTGTGCTACAGTGCTGCCAGCATCTTTCCCTAAAAAAACAAATCTGACCACATCATCCTCTGCTTAAATAACTTGCTTGGCTCCCTGTTGCCCCAGATTGAAGTTCAAAATTGTTTACATGGTAGAGAGTAGAAGGCCCTTCTCTGCCCAGGCCCATCTCCAGAAAACTCCATGTTCCTTTAGACCTCTCACTTCTTTGCACATGCAGTGTGACTTGCTCCCACTCTTCCACCTGACCAACCTCCTCTCCTCCTTCAAGATTGTCCCTGAATGTCCTTCCACCTGCGAATGTGCCCTAGGTAGCTCCACTGCTGTTGGTGGAGTTACTCGCACCTTCCTTAGGGTTTCTGTTGAACCCTCGCCGTCCCTGTGCTGTAGTTTGCACTTGTTGTAATTTAGCTTCACGTCTGCCTCCTCCATTAGACTTTGCACTTCCTAAGCCCAGGGAGCATTTTTATCCCTTTTCTTTTTCCTAGAGTGGGTAATGATAAGCCCAAGTACCTCCGAGGACAGGCAGGGAGTGGAAATCCGTGAAGCGCTGAGTGTGTTGTTGGGTGACAGTCGGGTATGATGGGGGGACTGTGGCAACCTGGAGAGCATGCCCTTTGCTCTTGGGGTCAGTGGCTTCTCTGCTCTGGCTGAAAGTGGCCAGTGAGGGAATACTGGGCCTTGTGGTGCTAGATCTTTCCATTTTTCAAGAGGAGCCCAATGCCTAGATGTTTCTATGAGGTCTCCCAACTTTTAAATTAAACTTGCTTCAAAAAAAAAAAAAAATCAGATAGAACATAACCAAGCTGCAGGTCAGCAGTCTGTGATCTTAGTAGCCCCTTGAGCTCAGCACAGTGCCTGGCACAAAGTCACATCTGTCTGGTGAGTGATAGTCAGTTGAGGACAAGTCCCTCCTCCTAGCTGGGTTTTGAGTCCCTGCTGTGTGTTTCCTGTTGGATTTTCTCCAGTGGTGATGGTGGGGAGTCTTTTAGGGAACTCTGCTGTTGCGTGTATTTCTGTTCCTTGCCTTTGAGTTTCTCTGTATTTTCTTAAAGAGGATCATAATTGTGCTTTCACACCTCATTAGCTTTTGTTTCTTAAGCTGGCTGTCGAACAAATGTGATAGCATCATATTTTATGGAAAAAAAAGTGTCAATTTAATAGACAGTTTTTGTTACATAATTTACATGTTGGTATTTAGAGAATAGAATTTTAAGATTATCTCTATTAAATATTTGGAGGAGAGTGAATTAAATACAATTTTTTTTTAATCTGGTTAGGAGTGTTTCTTAAATTTGTGTACCAGCATTTATCTTTTTCCTGCCCCAGAAGAAGGACCCACCTACCACTGTGACTAAAAGTTGACATTTCTTTAAGGAATTGTATTGCATTAAAATTTCCGATCGGTCTTAGGAGAGACAGCCCAACCTCCTCTCATAAGTTTCTCTTATTTTTGTAACTGCCCCGGGGCCAAAAACCACTAAAGTGCTATTTTATCATTGTCAAATAACAAGCACTTCATCCTGGCCTGAGCTTGAGCACTAAGAGTTTTAAATGACTAGAACATTTGGTAAAAGCTGTCAAATTTTATTAAGGACATGATACAGGTATTCCGAACAGATAACTCTGCAATAGCGTTTTTGTACATTTCAAACAGCCACAACTTTTTAGGACCAGATTGTGATTGCTTAAGTGGACAAGAATTCACGAATGCCTGAGTGATGTGGGGTTCGCTCACTTAGTAGAATGAATTATACCTCGCAGAGCCATGGTGGGTAGGTTATGATGTGAACTATTTAAATTCTCATAAGGAATAGATCTTCGTAGTTTGTTAGGAAAGGGATTCTGTGTATCAAACATTCTTAAAGATGGTTAAGTACTTCGGCACCTTATTTCATAACATGCATTTTTCTTTTATTTGTCCTTTTCTCCTTTTTCTAGTTTTGAGAAGGAAATGTCTTCTTTCTCCTTGGGTTTGTGGCTGTGGCTGGAACCCATTAGAGGAAATTGATGCTTAATGGGGACGTGAGTGCAATGAAGACTGTGCACAGCTGTTTGCTTTTTCCAAACACAACTCTTCCTATCGTCCACTCTCATGCAAGAGAGAAGCACAGTGTAGTTTCTTAAGATTTCTTAGTGAGTAGGGTCAGTTCATATTCCAGCTCCTCCAAGAATTTCCCTGGTTGCTTCTTGGACCTTACACTTTCCAGAGACCTGGTGTTGTTGGAAAATTTGTTCTTGGTTTTATCTTCCCTGCTGTGCTGGGGACTGTCCTCATTTTCCACGTGGCGTATCCCATTGTGCTTGGTATTTAATAGACGTTCAGTAAAAATGTTTGTGGATTAGAGGAATGATACACAAAGGGGGAGATGCCCTTACAGTCCCTGACCATCCCAAGCCCAGACATTAGACTGTTTTTACTTTTCATTTATAAATTAAAATTATTTCTTCTGAAAATGAACGAATATCATCTGTCAGGAGCAATGTCATAATGTAAATGTTAATCTTGGAAGGACTAATTTTGCCTCTAAAAGCTACAGGTAGTTTGATGATGGTGCGAAAGGGCCACTTTTATTTTTGTGCCAAGTGATATGATTTTGGGGCCATTAGGCACTTTCAGAGTGCCCAACATACAGCAGTTAGGCAAGGGAATGGATGAGGGAGAAGAGGGAGGATGAAGACATGTGAGATACTCTTACCATCCTTGACTTCTCTGCTTGTATTATTATTATTATTATTATTATTATTATTAGTAGTAGTAGTAGTAGTAGTAGTAGTAGTATTTTTGACAGGGTCTCACTTTGTTGCCCAGGCTGGAATGCAATGGTATGATCGTAGCTCACCTTGGATTCCTGGGTTCAAGCGATCCTCCCACCTCAGCCTCTCAAGTAGCTGGGACTATAGGTGCGTGCCTCCACACCTGGCTAATTTTTCTTATTTTTTAGAGAGATGGGGTCTTGCTGTGTTGCTCAGGTCCAGGCTGGTGTTGAACTCCTCCTACCTCGGCCTCCCAGAGTACTGGCATTACAGGCACGAGCCACTGCACCAGTCTGTTTATATTATTTCTAAATACAGCACTTACAAATTGATTTACTGAGCAGTTGCCAAGTGCAGGGTATTGTGCTAGGTTCTATGAAGGCTATAAAGACAAATCAGATAGAGCTCCCAAGCTGATTATAGGAAACAGTAAATGCCCCACGTGAGGTGGGGGTCAAGTGCTCCAGGAGAGCTCATGGCTGTCATCCCCCGAGAGGAGGGCTGGTGACAGTCAGGAAAGATTTTGTGCAGGGGGCAATGCTTTGAGTTGGACTTGGAGCAGCATTTGGG